GTTTTTTTTGTAGAGTCAGATAATGACTATTTCTGCCTTTGCAGGTCATATGCTCTCTGTTGCGACTGTTCGACTCTGCCATCGTAGCATGAAAAGAGGCCATAAAAAAAGGAACGAAAAGATGCGGCTGTGTTCCAATAAAACGTTATTCATATGAGTGAGGGTGGCTGGACACAGTGACCTGGCTCTAAGTGACCCAACCATTCCCCTGGCTTGCTGATGTCGCCTGGGTCCATCTCCAGCCCCAAACTTTCCAGTGAGCCCCAGGCCCAGTGTCTACCTGCTTAATGTCTTTGCTTAGTGAGCAATAGGCATAGATCTTCCGCTCACATCTGGACCTCTGATTTCCCATCTGCTGTGGGTATGTCGACTGCACTCAGCTTCCATTTCATCGTCTGCTTCTGTTTGTTTCCCTGCATTGTAGAACTGAAAAGCTAAAAACCACATTTTCCAGACTCCCTTGCAGCCAGGCTTCTGGGTGGGGTCGTGAGCTAAGTGCACCCCCTTGAGGCACAGGAGGCTGCACCTGCCTGTGACCCCTCTGCCGGGGCTGCTGAGAGGGTGAAGCGTAGACAGAGGGATGTGCAGGACCCCAGGTGTCTGCTCCCACAGTCACAACTACACTAGTCTTCTCCTAAACAATAGTTCCAAGGGCCACCTCTCAGTTCCTACACCACTAATTTTGTAATATTCCCTGTAACAAACTCACCTCTGCCTGAAACACTTGCGGATGGTTTCTGTCTTCTGTACGCGGGTCAATACACCCACCAGAACCGCCCCACTCCCTACCATCTTCACCTCAGTAAGTGGGATCTCTGTTCCTGCCTATGAATCAGGTTCTAATCAGAGAACTAAAAACCACACCACTAATTTGAACAGGAAAAAATAACATGAAGAATTGTTGACTAGTAAAAGGACGTTATCCACTGAACTGGGTGAAAGAGAACTCCAAGGGACAGGGAAGCAGCAAAGGCACGGAGGAGAACCAAGCCCCAGCACCTGCCACAAGGGCGAGGCAGCTGCTGCTGGTGGAGAAAGAAGGGGAGAGTCAGCTGGTGTGGAGGAGCGGCCACCACATGGCAGAAGAACTCGCCAGGGGGCACAGGCAGGGTACTGCTGGCCCACAGGGGCCACTGTGCTGACAGCTCCCAGCCACCCGCACGAAGTCCGGGCCGCCCCACTGACAGCGGCCCCTAAGCCCCTTCCCAGGCTTGTCCTCGAAGTGTCCCTCCGGCACCCTCTCTGGGCAGGGCCTGGCATGGTTTCAGCTGGCAAAGGGTATGTGCCCACAGGGTCCAGCTCCGATACCAGTCCAGAGCAAAGAAATGGGAATTTGATTTGGAATCAAACCAAAAGCAAAAGATGATTCCCGCCTCCTCCTCATCCCTTATATCCAACATATCACCAAAGCAAGTCAGTTTTACCTCCAGAATGTATCTCCAACCACCCTCCTCTCTCTCTACCATGACTGCTTTTGTCCAAGTCACAATAGATCCTGCCTGGACCTAGAGAAATATAACCTACCTGTTCCTAAACGGTAAACTCAAAACTATAAACTAGCTAATCTTCCCCAAATTAACCTATACAATCGTTGCAATTCCAATCGATTTCAACTGACTCAGAAATTCACCTAGAAAAAAAATCGTGTAAAATTATCCAAGTAATTGCTGGAGAGGAAGCCAGAAGAGAAGGGCATGTGCCCCGTCAGAAACCAAAGATACTACAAAGCCACGATGAGACATTAGGACACTGGTGCAAGAACAGACAGACAGACACGAGTTGAGAGTCCAGAAACAAATTTATGGTGCTTAGTATGTGACAAAGATAGCATTTAAAATAACTGGGGAAATGACGTCTTTAAATTAATGGCATTAGAGGAGGAAAGAGTAAAGGTGCGTTTTTCCTTCATACTATACACAATAATAAATTCCAAATGATGAAAACTTTGAAATCATAGGTAGAGGTGTATGTGAGTGTGTGTATGCTAGAAATAAAAAATAGGAGAATGGTATTCTAGTATCAGGCTATTGTACCAGAAAGCTAGAAGCCCAGATGGAAAAGTATGGCATATTAGACTATTAAAAAGTGTAATTATTTTGTACAAAAAAAGATTACCAATAACAGAGTAAAAAGAAAAATAAATCCGGAGGACATACGATCCAAAAAAGTTAATGTACATGACAGACAAATGTATTACCAATCAATAAGGAAAATACCAAAAAGCCAATAGAAAAATTGGCAAAAACACATCAACGGGTAGTTCACCAAAAGTCCTGTGGCCGATAAATATATGAAATGTGTTCATTCTTCCTAAGAGCCAATGGAAAGCAGTCTCAACAGAACAAGGCCTTCATTTCATGCCAGGTTGGCAGCACGACTCTCCAGGGCCTAGGGTGTGTGAGCCGGACGCTGCGGATCTGAATCTCGGTCCCACCACTTTCTAGGCCTGCAGACCTTTATGCCTCTGTTCCCTTGTCTGTAAAACTGGAATAAGTAAGAGCACTTTAGTACTTTGCTGTTAGGATTAAATGAAATAATTTCAATAAATTAGTATTCAGAATAGTGCTTGATACAACACATGCTCTATAAATATCATTTGGCTATTATTATCAAAGGTTGACCTTAATTTTCACTGGCTGGGGTGTACAGAAACACTCAAAATTCACTGGAAAGAAAGAAAAAGAAATCCATTGGAGAAAGGAAAATAAACTTCACTATTCACTCCTTAAATATTCATGACGGAATAGGACACAGCAGTTGGCAAAGGAGACATAGTTCCCTTCTGGGCAACATTCTAAGGACATTGCCCTTCGATGGCGGTAGGGGTGGGGCAGTAAAGCAGCACATGCCCCGCGGTGGTTAACCGCAGACCCTGAATTCCACATTGGGAGGTTGATCCTAAAGAAATACTTGATTAAAGGCGTGAAGATCACAGTCTTATGCTGGGCCATCCTAAGTACCTGTGAATGAATGAATGAGGATCAGTTAAATAAATCCCATTACATCAGCCCATCCAACAGGGTTGTCATGCAGGGAGGAGGCGCACAGCTGCAGGCCTGGGAGAGTGGGGCGGCTGGACTCACGCAGGACCGGCGTGGGAGCCAAACCCGCTCCGGACAGGACACGCATCCGGGGGTGCTGCTTCTGGCTGGGTGTCCTGCACAGGTTGGCTGTCCTTTCAGCTGGATGCATCATTTTTATAATCTCGGGGATGGGGGTGGAGATTCAGCTATTCCCATGGGAGGCATGAAATAAATGATTCACTGGCTAAGAAATAACGTCAAACAAGGACCAGCCACATCGGGTCGCCACCCACTGCCCAGGAACCCAGCCCTGTGGCCCTCACTGCACTCATCTCCCAAAATCGAGTCCCGGCCTGCCCCCTACTCTCCTGAGCTCCTCCGTTTCCGCCTTCTCTGACCTTCCCCAGCACTACTCCTGCACCTGGCGACAGTCCAGGCAGAGTCCTGGGGACACAAGTCCTGAACCTGACTAAAATGCTGGCCCTGGATGGCCAGCCACTGGGAGCCCCTGGAGACCGAGCGACAGCCCAGCCCACCCCAGAGGCCCCCAGTGCAGCCGGGTGGACATGGTGTGTCTGATTCCAGACAGGATCCTTGTTAACACTCCCTGTTGCCCAACATGATTTTCAGTAGTAATCACCAATAATAACTTTTTGCTCATAGTTTACTTCTAATTATCAATTACAGTTAGTAACTTTAATTTCCAATTTACAATATACTCAACTTCAGAAAAATGTCACACGTGAAATAAAGTTTGCACCAAACAAAAATATTACACCTTGCAGTTTTCCCTATTTCACTGTTCTAAATTTTAAACGCAAGTAGAAACCCCAGATGGTCACATTGAAGTGACTCAAGTTCTGTTTCTTCCTGGTTACACTTACTTTGGTGTCATTGCCCATCTCAGATCTGCTTAACTGCCCAGCCCTGAGTTCTGAGGACCCTTCATGATGCCCGACCATGAGGCACTTACCCTCCCAGGGAAAGCTTGTAGTGAGTTGAAACCATCTGCATATAAAACTAACATTCTCTGAATTAACTTCTATACAGAATACAAGGTTTACTAAAGGATAACAAAAATAAAATTATTTCATTTTTTTCATCAATAATGAAGTCATTTTAAGGCTATGTTTTACTCTGAACACAGCTTTAACTAGGTCATATAGTTGAGCATGAAGGGATTTATCTTTACAGTGTTTTCTATATAATTGTAACTTCACATTTGAGTTTCTCTTTGATCCGGTGGTTTATGAGAGTGAATTTGTTGATTTCTAAGTATTTAAGTTTGTTTCTTTAAAAATAAAACCATTTAATGTTTACACTAAGAATTATCTTGGACTGTGATCAAGTCATGTGCCCTATTATATCCCTTTATTCAACTTGCACGGGGTTTTTTGCGGCCCATACATGACTTTTTTGCAAATATTCCATGGACTAAAATTGATGCAAAGTTCTCACTTTACACAAAACAATTAAGTTGAGTTTAGTATGTATATTCAATATCTTTATTCTCATACTCGAATTTTGTCTGCAGATCCGTCCATTTCTGTCCTGGGCAAGGGAGAGGCCGGCGTTTGGATCTGTGGCCCGGGCTGCAGGCTTGCAGGTTGCCCGCCAGCGCGACGGACTCCAAGGAGGCCAGGCCCGGAGCACTGGTGCTGGGAGCAGGAGGGGCGGAGCCAGGCTGGGGGGGAGGGACAGTTAGCCCGTTGCCAGGAAGCGGGAACGGACACAATGGGGTCTGGAAATTGGGCCGGGCGGGGTCGGTAATCCGGGCACCCCACCTAGACTTCCGGACACAGGAGCCACAGGACTGGGTCAGTGCATCTTCAGGCCCCGCCCCCTCCGGGAACCGCGTCTCCCACGCGGCCCCCTCTCTCCGGTGTCCTCACACGATGCGCCTAAAATATCCCGCCCCGCACCCCCGAACCCCGGGGGATTCGATCCCCGCAGTGCTGAACCCTAACTTGGTGCGCCCGCCCCTACTGACCCTGAAGCTCGGTCCCCGCTCCGCGCCTCCCAGAGCCAGGAAGGCTACCGTTTGTTTTTCCGGCGCCCGGGATACGGGACAGGCCCCGCCCCGAGTCCGCTGCGCTGGAGCCAAGCGGGCGCGGGTCGGGGCTGGCGGCCACCTCTATCAACAGGTGCAGCGGACTCTAAGCGCCCCCACGTGCCATGGGCTCGGACGTCTGGGTGGGCCCTTGGCGGCCGCACCGGCCCCGCGGCCCCATCGCAGCGCTCTACACTGGCCCGGGACCCAAGTACAAGCTACCACCGAACACCGGTACCCGTGGCGGGCGCGGGGCAGCGGGCTGTGCCGGGGCGGGAGAGGCCGGCCCGCGGTGACGCTCCGCGACCATCGCAGGCTACACTCTGCACGACCCGTCGCGGCCCCGCGCCCCCGCCTTCACCTTCGGCACACGCCTCCCCACGCAGCAGACGCCGTGCAGCCCGGGGCCTGGCCACCTGGTGCCCGCGCGCATGACCGTGCGCGGCCCAGACGGCGCCCCAGCCTACTCCATCTGCGGCCGCCCGCGCCACGCAGCGCCCTTCCTCACTCCCGGACCGGGTCAGGACCCCCGGGGCCCCGGCCTCAACGCCTAGCCTCTCCGGGGAGGCCCCCGGGCTCCCCTACTTGAGCCCCGATCCCCCGGGGGCCCTAACACTACGATTCGGCGCCCCCATAACCGGATCTCAAAAGAACCCCAAACCCCGCAGGGCTCTGACAGACCACGGCTCGGATTTCCCCTAATCCCGGGTTCCCAGCCTGGCTCTGGCCCACACCCCCGGTCCGCCCCGCAGGCCGGTACTTCCCGGAGCGAGCAGGGAACGCGGCGTACCCGAGCGCGCCTCGGCACACCATCGCTCCCCGAAACTGGGGCGTCCACACGGAGAAGCACACCCCAGGTGAGACCAAAAAGGCCCCACGGACCCTCCTATCCCCGCCCGGAACCGCCCTCCAGGCGCCGGGGCCACCCAGCACCCGCACTGCGACCGGCCAGGCCCACCCCCGCTCGCCGCCCCACAGGTCCCGCGGCCTACACAGTGCCCTCGCTCCTGGGCCCGCGTGTCGTCGGGAAAGCCTCGGCTCCAACTTACTCCCTCTACGGCCGCAGCGCAGTGGGCAGCGTCTTCGAGGACCTCAGCAAGGTTGCAGGGATGGGGTGGCCGCCCGGCGGGCCGCGGAAGGTCAGGGTAGGAGTCAGGGGTCAGCGGGCAGTGGGGTCGACCAAGGCGTCCCTCCTACCGTCCCGCAGACCCCGGGTCCCTGCGCCTACCACGTGGTGAACCCCGCCATCTACAAGTCTCGGGCCCCCCAGTTTACGATGCTGGCGCGGACTTCGCTCCCCCAAGACAAGGCCCAGAACCCCGGGCCCGCAGCCTACAGCGTGGACCAGGTGTTCTGCAGCCCAGGGTCAAGGGTCAGAGGGGGGCTGAAGGTTCAAGGGCCGAGGTTGGGGACAAGGTCCCAAGGGAAGCCGGCTCCGTTGGAGTCAGCTACGCGTCCTTCCTCTGCAGCACCGGAAGCCCCGCGGCTGGACCTTCGGGATTCGGCACTCGGACTACGTGGCCCGGACGGTGACTGACATGGACTGAGCCCAGGAGGGCACAGCCCCACGCGAGTCTGCTTAAAGCTTCCGGAGCCAGCCGCGTGTCCGCCTGTTTGTGCTCGCGGTCGGCGGGGGGCGGGCGCGCACGGGGCTGACGCGCAGTGAGGTGCGGCACCACGGCTCCACGAGACGCCGCCGGGAGCGCGGGGGCCGAGTCTCAGAAGTCCGCGCGGGCCGTTGTGATTGGTTGGAACAGAAGCGAGCAGGCTCGTCCTGTCTCCCTGCGGCGGCGATTGGCCCAGAGTCCCACCTGTCCGCAAGACCCCGCCCCTCTTGCCGCTGAGGGCTTAGTGTTGTCAGCGGCCACAGGCTGGCTGGGTGGGGGCCGAGCTGCGCGGCGGCGGGACGCGGAGACACGCACGGTGACAGCACAGACTCGGGAGAGAGGAGCAGACACAAGAAACGGGAAGAGGGGCGGGACAAGCACACCGGGCTGCAGACACACGGACACAGGTCCCAGGTGTGTCTCGCACGCCGGGAGCGACAGTCGCGCCTGGGGGCCCCTGCGGGAAGGAGCCGAGCCTTTCTGATCCCTGCTGGAGCCCAGGCAGCTCTAGGAGCTGATGTGCCTGAAGCGAGGGGGGGCAGAGGACACTGGGCTTGGTGCGCGCTGTGGGGGACCGGAGAGCACGCAAACAGGTGCGTGGGGTGGGCGCAGAGACTGCCTGCCCTCGGGGACGCCACAGCGCACCCTTGATCCCCGAATAACCCACCGACCCCCTCGTGCTGCCTACACCACCACACCTCACCTGGGCGCCGTGCTCATGGCCATGAGACTGTGAGGCATGAATCTGGGAGGAGTGCATGGCACTGACCTCAGCCTGGCCAAGTCCTGGCAGCAGCTGGAGTGACCGGAGGCCTGGTGCCAGCAGTTCATGGACAAATATTCCAAGGGGTAGTGAATGACAAGGTCAGCTTGGTTCTAGCACCTGCCCCATCTGTCTGTGGCTGCAAGGTCAGAAGATACCTTTTCTCTGGACTGGAACTTCTGACCTCAAAAAAGCCATCAGCCCACAGGCAGTTCCTAGCCTCAAGCCTGGCCCAGAGTCCCCACAGGCAGGACTCAGGCCTCTTTTCCCCCGGGACAGAACTTGGGTCCCCTTCCCCATCAGCCCATCATAACAGCAACTAGTTACTCAGTTTACCCCAGATAGGACTCCAAAGGGAAAAGCTGGGTATCCCCACACACACACACACACACACCAAGACTTGTGCCCCCAGGAATGGGTACCGGCCTCCTTCCCCACTGACTCAGCCATCCCAAACCAGGGCAATTATTTTTCATTCCCTCCCCACCAGCTAGACACCCATTACAACTGCTCAGTAAACCAGGGCAGGTGAGGGTGAGTGTGGGGTGGTATGCATGGCCAGTCAGCACTCACACCCCTGCCAGCAGGCACCGGTGATCAGCAGAGGAGGGCTGGGCTCACAGTGCCAAGGTGGGGAAGGGACCTTGGGTAAACCATCTTTTCTTGGATTCCGTATCCTCCACAGCCCAGAACAGGGCCACTGATTGGTCATTGATTTGGATTACTTTTGGAAACATTGTCCAGAATCTCTGAGGGATCACCAGTGTCACCAATGAGGATATTGATCATAATTATCTATGGGTCATTGATGGTCCTTGGGCTTTGGTCAAGGTCATCAATGGAGCTTTGATTGGAGTCACTAACAGGAACTTGGTCAAAATCACTGATGGGCCTCTGATTAATCATTAGTGGGCCACAGGACATTGATCAGAGCATCCCTGATGGGTCAGACCAGTCATTAATTAGGACTTACCAGAATTCATAAATCACTGGTCATGGTTTTTGCACATTTGCCGAAACAACATGTTGAGTCCTTGGTCAGAGTCAGTGATGGAGTCGATTATTGACCAGAGGCCGCTGAGGGTCAGTGGGGGTCCTGATGCAGGGGTTGGCCAGATGTGGGGGCTGCTAGAGTGGGTGGGCAGCTGTATTGTTGCTCCAGTGATGGCATCCTGTATGAAAGCAGAGATGGGACAGCTATCATGGACAGCCTGCAACTCATCACAGGTGACTGAACCCATGCTCCAGGGTCCATTTCTTGGATGTTAAAGATCCCTGACCTCCAATCGCAGAGTCAGGGTCTTCTCATCAGGAGCCCATGGAACCTCCCCCACTGATCTGACCCCACCCCCGGGTCATTGTCCCTCATCACAGAATGCCTGACCAGCTCCGGAGGGTGACCTGACTGATGCACAACTCACCAGGCCCTGAGCCCTTCTACACCCGACAGCCTCCATCCTTAGTAATAAGGTACTCTGGTGGTGAGCATGAAGTTCAGAGGGGCCACAGTGTTCCCTAACAAGACACAGGCACAGGCGCTGGCCCAAGACTGTGTGGCCTCTCCGCAGGAGTCGCCGTGGGGCCATGGCCTCTGTTGGGTGGACATGTGGGCCCACCCTCCCATTCAGAATTTGGGCCGCATGGTCCCCATGTGCCTCCCAGTCCAGTGGGCAGCCCTGTCTCATCCCGGCCTCTGCCAGGACCTGGCCTCCCTCCTTCAAGCTCCACCCAGTGACCTTATCATAGCAAGGCTGACCTGACCTAGGGTCTGGGGGAAACTTTCACAGCCCACTGCCCCAGGCCAGGTGCAAGGTCTTCCTGTCCCCCACCGATGAGGTCAGGCACGCTGTCTGCCTCAGGTCTCTCCTACCCACCCCCAAACTTTCCGTGGCCGACTCATTCCTGGGGAGCTGACACCCAAGAGTGCAGCAGGGACCGCAGCCAGACGACGCGTGGGTTGATTGAGGCCCTGCGGGGCGGGATCCGCACTGAACTTTACCCCCGCAGGTTGGAGTGGGGCGGGCCTGGGGCCAGGTCGCGGCCCCTCTGACCGCCACGCATAACTCCTGCGGGGCGGCACCTGCGAGATGCGGTCATCCGCTGTCTAGGCTCGGGCTGCGGTGCCGCACCGCTGCGCTTAAGCCCCGCCCGCCAGCAGGGCGGGTGCTCTCGGACCCACAATACCGCCGCGGAGCCACGAGGCAGCGGGCAGCCGCGGGAGGAGGTGCCACCCCCAGGCACGTGTCCGCCAGCGAGCCCGCCGTCTTTCGCGCGCGGCCGGGCGTCCCTTGTCTCCGCGCCAGTATGCGCATGCGTGGCGCCGTTGGCGCTTGCGCCGTGTCATCCGGAGCGGCCGCGGCGGCCCACGACCCTGCGCGCATTAAGCTGTTTTTGGTGCTGCTTCCTCGACTCCCGGCACGGACGCCAGGGCCCGGGGAGCCTGAGCACCACGCCTAGGCCTTGCTCTGTGCTGGCCTGTGCCGGGGTCCGGCTTTCTGACACTACCGCTGGGCAGACAGCGGCGTGTTTCCGAGGGCGCCTGGACGGGAGGGGTCCGGGAGGCACCCACAGGCTGCCTCCGCTGCCAAGCACATCTGGTGCGCTGCTCAGAGCCACTTGGTAAAGGAGGAAGCTAAGCGAGAGGGGCTAGGCGACGCGCCCAAGGTCTTCCTGCCCAGAGCCCAAGCACCGCCTGGACGTTGAGCAGCTCTCGGGAGGGTCCTTTCCGCAGCAGCGTAACAGGTGAGGGGGAGTCCTGAGACCTCCACCTAGGAAGCGTCCCGAGGCCACCGTGACAAAGGCACAGAGGTCACAAAGCAATGGTAGGGCCAGGAAACGGCAGTTGCTCTCGGGAACAGTGTGTAGGATGGGGCTGGCCAAGTAGGAATCTCATTTCTTAGCCAGGGCGAGGGGTGGGTAGCGGAAAGGGGCTGCCTGGAGGGGTGGAGCAGCGCCAGTGGTGATTGCCTACCTTCCCTGGGGGAACACGTGTGTGGGTGGCACAGCGTTTCTGCTGAACATGGTGAGGGCAGTGGGGGAACCATAGGCCTCTGCTGGGAGGGATTGGTAGGCTGCAAAAGAGCCAAAGGAAACGGCCTTTGGGGGTTGAAGCCAGACTCTCCAGCCTCCTGAAGCAGGGTTTATTGCAAACACTCATGCTCAGGCACCCAAAGCATGCACTTGGAATGCTTCCAGTCAGCTCAGGTACAGGGTGGGACGAGTACAGATATGGACGCTTGAAGTCTAAGCTGGAGTTTGATGTTTCAGAGGTGAAGCAGCTGAGTTCAGGTGAGACCAGGCAAACAGCTGTAGACAGCTGTGAGCCGGAGCACGGGGCTGGCACCTCTCTCCAGAGTGATAGGGACAACCCAGAGGCAGAGGCCATTCTGGTTCCTGACACCTTTGCTCTTTTCCAGGAGCAACAGGTCCATGCTGCTGGCTCAGGCACCCAAAGCTTGGCCCAGGCTTCCTCAGCTCAAGGCCCCAGCCCTCCCTAGGACCGTGGGAGGCAAGGCCCTACATCTGAGGTACCAGCCCATGTCAGGGTGGGGCCCAGAGACAGGCAGGCGGGGCCAATCCCAGGGCCCTGAGCTGCGAACTAGGGTGCTGGTCACAGCCTTGTTTGGGGTTGGGCTCGGTGGTGCCTGGCTGGCAGCAAGGGCTGAGAAGGAACAGCGGCAGCAGCGAGAGCGGACAGAGGCCCTGCGCCAGGCAGCCGTGGGCCAGGGGGACTTCCGCCTGCTGGACCACCAGGGCCAGGCTCGCTGCAAAGCGGACTTCCGAGGCCAGTGGGTGCTGATGTACTTCGGCTTCACACACTGCCCGGACATCTGCCCCGATGAGCTGGAGAAGCTGGCGCAGGTGGTGCGACAGCTGGAGGCCGAGCCTGGCCTGCCCCTGGTGCAGCCCATCTTCATCACTGTGGACCCCGAGCGGGATGATGTTACAGCAATGGCCCGGTACGTGCAGGACTTCCACCCGCGGCTGCTGGGCCTGACGGGCTCTGTGGAGCAGGTGGCCCAGGCCACCCACAGCTACCGCGTGTACTACAGCGCCGGCCCTAAGGACGAGGACCAGGATTACATCGTGGACCACTCCATCGCCATCTACCTGCTCAGCCCTGATGGTCTCTTCACAGACTACTATGGCCGGGGCAAGTCAGCTGAGCAGATTGTAGACAGCGTGAAGCGTCACATGGCTGCCTTCCGCAGCATCCTGCACTGAGCGAGTCATTAAAAGGTGCAATGAATCCATGTGCCTGTGATCTGTACCATGGCAGGTACAGAAAGCCATGGCAGGAAAGGGGCACAGGACCTGGTTACTTGCTGAGGATGCCAGGGAGATGGGCAGCCCTCTTCTCTGCACAGAGCAGGAGCTGTGTGGTTTTCTTTAAGGAGTAAGTGGGGTGGCAACACCATTTTATTAGGCTGGATCAGCCAGGAAGCAGGAGTGGAATGAGCAGATGCATGCCCTGCCCCAGTCTCAGTGCTCCCACTCAGGGTTGGGCCATGGAGGGGGCAGCGTAGGTCTGGAAGCGCTTGTGGGCCCGCTGGTGTGTGAGCAGTCTCAGGGACATGGTGTCCACGGCCGCCTCTAGCCCTGGCTGCTGGGTGATCTCCACTGTGTGGTCATTGGCCTGTAGGGACGAGGCATCAGCAGAAAGCGAGGACTGTTTCCCTCCCAGGCTCCCAGGCACTCACCAGCTGCAGAGAGGCCAGCATGGAGCGGCACACCTCAAAGGGAGGCTGGCCTGCCACCAGCTCTGCAAAGGGACACCACTGGTTGAGCTGGCTGAACCTTGATACCACCTGGTCCCCATAGGAATGGATGTCAAAGGGCACGTGCTGCTCCTGCAGGAGGGAGGGGGCAAGGTCCTGGGCAAACCCAAGGCAAGCCGACTCCAGTTCTCAGCAGAAGCCCTGCCCACACGCACCCCCACTCCCGGAGCCCCCCATCACCTGCTCCTGGAGCAGGGGCTGGATGGTGCTCTCCCAGTCTCTGATGCGCTGGCTCAGCTCCGTCTCCTGGACGAACTTCTGAGAGGCGGTGATGAAGAGCTCCTAGGGGGCACCAGGAGCAAACACCTTCTGTGCCGGGGCCCCTCACCCAGCCCCCTGCCCGCTCTCACCTGCACCTACCACATTCCTTCGGATCAGCTCATAGCTCAGGGACACCGGCATGGCATCTGCTTCTGAAGAACAGGCAGGTGTGAGCTGCTGTGGCCAAAGGTGTCCCCCATCCTCCTGCCCATCCTCAGGCCCCTCACAACCCCCTGGCTGGCAACCCTCTCACAAGTACCTGGGTCTGCAGCTACCCCAGGCTCTGACCCCTCGGTCTCTGCATATGCCTCAGGCTCTAGAAAGTCATCTGCTGGGAGGCGGGGCCACCCCAGCAGGAGGCAAGTCAGTGGGCAGCGGGTGTTGAGCCCCCGAGCCCGCCCCAGTAGGCACCCACCTGCTGCCCCCAGGTCCTCCAGGGAGTCCTCCAGGTGGTCCTCCTCTGCAGTCCACAGTGCCTCAGCCCTTGGCAGCCACCGCTCTGCCCTCTGCAGAGAGAACATCTGTGAGGGCACGATCTGGTGCCAGGGGCTGCTTGGGATCTGGCAGCGCTGGCACTTGCCTCCCTCCTCTGCAGCTTCCGGAGGGCCTCCAGTTGCTCCCTCATGTGCTTCCAGTACAGCACCTCCATGTCTGCATACAAGGGCTTGTGAGAGGGGCTCCCCGTCCCACCTAGACCAGCCCAACCCACCCAGGGCCTTGGGCATCCCTGGGCTGAGGGGAGGCAGGCAGAGTGCATTGCCGTCATCCCCCGGAGGAGGAGCCACACAGGCTCTTGGCCTCACCTGCAAAGGACGGGCCCTTTCGCCGGGGCCTCCTGTTGTCAGCATGGTCAGCATCTGTAAGCGAGCTCGGTCAGCAGAAACCAAGCCCCTGTAGGCCAACCTGGACCCTCCCGCTGTGGCCCTGCCAAGCCCCACCCCACCACACCCACTCACAGGCAGCCAGGTACCACTGGTGGAAGTCCTGCAGCTTGGTGGTGCCCTTCCTCTTGCGCTTCTGCCCTGGAGCCTCCTCCACACAGGGAGGCACAGAGTAGGGCCTGCCTGGGGGCAAACAGACTGTGTCTCAGAGCACAAGTGTGGGCGCCAGGGTGGAGCACGGCAACACATCCCCTAGGGGTGGGTCTCACAGCCCTGCCAGGTGCCCCATGGGTAAAGCCCACCCCTACCCACCACTCACTCTGCAGCAAATCAGCAACAAAAGCCTGGGTGGTGTTGTACCTCCAGCCAATTACCTTTCTTGAAGGGCTTAGAGTCCAAGGAATCAAAGGGGTCCAGGCTCTGCCACGGGTCTGGGGTCTCCTGAGCAGAGTACAGACAGATACCCAGGAAGTGGGGACATGCACCCTCCCCCCAAAACCCAGACATACATACAGTAACAGCCAGGGAAGAGCTGGCCACACTCGATCCAGGATCCGAGGGCGGTACATGAGGGCTGGGGGGGGGGATTTCTCGCAAAGGAGAGCCAGCACGAAGGGCCTCAGGATAGGACTGCAGGCACTGAGGCTTTGAAAGCTGGCTGGAGTGAAGGGGTGGGCAGTGGGGCCTCGAGCATACCCTCCATGCCAAGGTACCTGGGTCGAGCCCACCTCACCTTCAGCCAGGACGTAGGCTCCAGGACCACCTGTCGCTCCTGCAGCTCCCACCTCCTGGGCTGGGTGGCACTCTGTAAAGAAATGGCCCAGAGAGAACCCCTCTTCCTCCTCCACCCAAGACTCTGGGCCCCAGCAGCTTGACTCTGGGGTCAGACACCAAGAACCCAGCAGAGACCCTTTTTGGGAGGACACGGTTCAAACAGTTCAAGTACTAAAAAGTAAAACCACAATTCAGGAAAAACTTCAGGATAACATACAAACTAGCAAACTAGGTCACGAAGCATTTTTTTTTCTTTAGAAAAACAACCGAAAAATAGCATAATAATAAACCACATACCTACCAACCAAAATTAACATCAACATATTTTCCTGTATGTGTCAGTCTGTTTTTAAATAGATAAAGACTTTAGCTCTAGGCTGGAACACAGAGCCAACTCTTGGGGATGGAGGGAGACAGCACAGACTCCAGGCCAATCCGCTCCTGCCAGCCCGACCTCAGAAGCAGCAGCTCTGGAGACCAGCTGCCTCCCTGGGTAGCAGCCACGAGCACCATGGGGCTCGGACCCTTGAACCCCAGCCCACCCTCTGAGGAGCAGAGGAGGGGGAGGGACATGGAAGCCACTGTCCAAAGGGTTGGGTGCAAGGACAGGTCTGGGGCTGGCTGGAGGGTGCGCCTGCTGCCCTGGAGCACAGGTGCAGGGACGGGACGAGACCTCAGGACTGCCTTCCAGCTGACAGCTCAAGCCAGGCGGGCCTCAGTATGGGTCTCACCTGCTGGGGGCTCCTGGGCTGCAGGGGCTCCAGGGGGCCCTCGGGGGCTGTGGCCTCAGGGAGCTCTGCTGGCCCCTCTGCATCCTCATCCTCACCCCCGCCTCCGGGCATCAGGCCTTCTGGAGAGGTGCCTGGGCAGGGGAGCAAGAGACCAGTCAGCCCCAGGGAGCCCAAGACCACACAGCAGAAGGGGCTGCCCACCAGGGCGAGGGCCACACTGCGCGACAAACACCAAGGGGCGGCGCCAGAGAACGCAGCAGGGTGTGCCCCACCTCGCCACACTGCTGTCTGTCTGGTTCACTTTGTTTTTCAGCAATTTTCCTCTTTAAATGCTGCCATCTATGTCTGCCTGGAGACGAGGGGGAGCCCGGGAAAGGTCAGAGGGGTCACTGAACCAGGACAGGAGCGCAGCAGGCCAAGGTGGGGCACAGGTGAGCCTGCCCCACACCTCACCCCTGGCTCTGGAGCAGCAGGCATCCCCACACAGGGGCCTGCCCTGCCCCCACCTGCACGTCTGCCATGGTGCCCTCTGCCCACCTGGCTCCTGAGGGATGCTCAGCACAGGGCCTGGACTCCTGCACACAGAGACCTCCATTGGCTGCTCCTCGGCCCTCCCAGCCTCTGGGAAAAATGGGGGATTGGACAGGGTCGGCCCAGACCCTTCCCCAAAAGGCCCCTCCCAGGGGCCTAGCAGAGCCAGAGCTGGGGAGGGAGAGTAGACCCCTGGCTCCCTGGAGCTGGGCTGGCCTTGGGCAGTGAAACGGTGCCAGGACCAGAGCTGGTGGGTACAGAATGCCCAACCAGGAGCCCTACCCACAAAACCTTCCTTCCCACAAGCCCTGCGCCCCAAGCCTCACCCTGGTGGCTCCCCGGCAGCAGTGTCCCCACGGGGGACATGCCCACCGGCTCCAACATGAAGGCTCCTCTTGGGTGGGGGGTGCAGGTATTCATCCTAAAATCCTTCCGGCTGGCTAGGACCTCCCCCTGGCAGCTGTGCTGCCAAGAATACAGCCATTGTAGAGACCCTCCCCAGGCAGCCCTCTCCCCTTCCCTGGCCCCTGCCCGCAGGCTCAGGCCTGTACCTATACAGGGGGTGGTGGCTCTTCTCCAGTTCATCAGGGGCTACCAGGGCCATGGGCAGGAGGGGGACAACGAGGACCTCCTGCACAAGGGTCAAAAGGGAGTGAGCCATGGGTCACATGGGCTCAGGGTGGGGCACATGGAGAGACACTCCAGCACCCCCCCCATGTAGGCGCAGCCCCCACACGCAGGGGAGGGGCACTCACACTGAGGGCCTGGTCATTCCTCAGATCCACACTGGCACGGGAGTCAGGAAGGTCATCCAGTGACAGGAACTGTGGGGACACGGAGAGGCTGAGGACTGCGCCCTCAGCAAGCACACAGCGGGCGGTGGCCATGCACCCGAGAACCTCACCTCATCCTCCACATCCCGGACGGCCCTGGAGCTGGCGTTCGCACTGGCACGATCTTGCGGCACGGAGGAGAGCTGCTTGGCCCGCCTGTGAGAGAAGCAGCAGGTGGGCCCCAGGAGGCTGCAGGCTCCCAGCAGGCAGCACTCCCAGCGCCCACCTCCAGTACTCACTTCGTGCCCGAGATGAAGTCGAGCGCCTGGTAGACCAGCGAGTAGAGGTACTCCACCTGGCGGCCGGAGCAGACAGTGAGGGCGCAGGAAGGAGGGCTGCCTCCAGGCTCCGCAACCCTCCCCACTGCTTCCACACCGGATGTCCGCGGAGGACAGAGAAGCCCGCTGTCCTCTCCAAAGCCTCGGCACAAACGCTGCCCATCTGCCTCCAACTCTTCTCCTGTTGAGCCCGCAGGGCCCACGCATCCCTAGCGGCTCAGTACCCCCAGCTCTCCTCAGCCCCCACCACGCTGCAGCAGGGGGGCTTCTGGACGCTGGGCATCTGCACCTGGCACAGCCCTGTCTGCCTTGCTCCTCTGCTGGCACCCGGGGCCTGGGTGCAGCCGCAGACTGGGGAGCCCCTAGGAGGGTGAGGGGCGGGACCTTCCGGATGCTGGCCACAGGACAGGGGGAGCAGGGTGCATGCTGCCGCTGGGTGACAGCGCCCAAAAGCACCCCGACCTCTCTTCTTGGCGCTTTTTTTCAAGCAAAGAAATGTTTGCTGTGCTTCCTTTACATGTGGCGCTCTGCACTGGCCACAGCAATGGGCCAAACAGATGGCGGGCACTGATCCCACACACCACGTTTTTGTCACCAGCTTTTGTCAGGGATGAACACCAGCTTTTGTCAGTGTTTGCCATTCACAGGGCCAGGCTTCATGCTTCATCCCATTTCATCCGCCTGAACTAGTCGCTACTGCTCTCTTCTCCGTGGGACCAGCTGGGACTCAGGGAGTGGGGGAACCTGGATCAGCGGTGGGTCCAAGACTCACACAGGGGTGTAGGACTCCAGCGCTGCATGACCTCACCCAGCAGCCACTAGGGGCATAGCAATTTGAATTTAAACTAATTAAGTTACTAGAACTCAGATTCAAAACTCCTCAGTCACACTGGCCGTGTTTCAAGGGCTGGCAGCTGCCACATGGGACAGTGCAGCCTCCCTCATCTCAGAACGTCCCGCTGACGGGGCGGTGGTCCCACACCCCCAGGCACCTTCCAGACACTTCACTGCCACTGCTTTATCAGAGTCCCTTTATTTGTCTAGTGGTTCAATTTATGCCTTTGCTTTCAGAATTAGCTGCAGACATTCCTCCTTAGGATAAATGCAGGACATAGGGATCCGACCTAATGGGATTATCTAGGACAAAACCAGTGAAATCTTAGACTGTCTGAGTCACTTACAGTACCAGGAGGTAAATCCACTGGGTCCTGAGCACGATACCATGTGTGCAGGATCTGCCCCGGCTGGCTGGATGCCCTGCTGAGCTCCTGGCTCAGTCCTAAGCGCCACCCCCTGGGCTCCTGTTGTCTCCTCCCACCGCTGAGTTGCCCACTTGGGTCAGTGCTGTGGCCCACGTTTTCTCACAGCTCCACCGGGGGCAGCTAAGTGCTACTGGAGGAAAACCACAGAATGGTGCGCCAGCGGGATGCAGCTGGTCTCCACTGGGCTTGCAATACTTTTGGTTAATCCTTTATTTTGCATTCTTCTTGGCAAGTAATTTTGAACTATCACAAAATTTCACTCTCTAAATTTCCTACCTAGTAACTGATTCTCAGGCAGCTGACTTACATCCTCCATTATAAAAACTGGGGCCTCAGGCATGAACCCCTAAATCCCTGTGTCCACTTCTCTGCATCAACATTTCTTTCAGTTTCCTGGATGAGGTGTCTTTTTCTTTTCAAGGCGAGCCCATCAGACCATGTTCCTGAGCCATTCCTACCTATCTGGGATTTGTTTTACCCTTTCCTGTCCCTGCTCCCTGCCTCCCCATGTCACTCTTTAGCTCTGTGGTTCCCCCTCCACCCCACCCTGGGACTCCAATTCCCTCGGCCTGGGTGATGTGCAGGCTGACACATTCCCAGATCACTGTTCCCCTCCTACTACAGTCTGGCCCTCCTTTCACTAAAATCCCTGGTGACCTACCCGTACACCCAGCATACTTGAAAATCTTTACTATATGGGTCCAATTCATGAATTCAACATTTTTGGTCTTTAGCTTCTTCCCTGAAATTCTCTGCTGCTCCAACTCCAACAGGACATTTTTTCGATTCATTTTTCTGACTTTCTCTTCTCGGGTGCACTTTCCAAGTGAGTGCTTCCCAAGGCGTTCCCTTCATTCTGCTTTTCCTCTGGCTCTACAACAGGGACTCTCGACCATGGGACTGCTCACTCTGGACTGTGTGATTCTTCGTCATGTGGGCTCGCCTGTGTACACACCGTGGGATGCTCAGCAGCAAGCCCTCAAGCCCTGCGATTTTATATCCAGCCTTGTTCTTCAGAGTTAAAAGGTGGCCAGTGATCAGGGGAGAAGGGAGGCGCTGGCAAAGGAGGTCAGAGATGGGGTGAGCCTGTCCTCTGCCCCAGCAGGACAGCAACCCTCAGCCCCCTCAACACAAAAACACCAAGACCAGTGGCCAAGCAGGCCCACCTTCTTACTGTAGACACAAGCGGAGCCCTGGATCAGTAACGCTGCCTCAATGAAGTTCATGGTGGTTTTGCCTTCGTCAAAAGAAATGCAGATCTGGTCCAGCTGCAAGACACAACACCGGGGAGTAGGACGCCAAGTTTGTGCACATGTCTCCTGGGCAGCCCACCCACCACGCACCGCCTCCCAGCCTCTGGCCCAGAGTATCTGGTCGGCAAGAGCAGCCCCTCGACTGACGGCTCTGGCTCTGTGTGGGGCTCCCTGCTTGTCCATTTCTTGCAGGAGAGAGCCAGGCCTTTACGAGTGAGACTGAGAGTTTTGGAGGAGCCCTGGAAGAGGCCCCCACGAGCAGTCTGGGCTGCACGCAAGCTCCTTTGCAAAGATGCTGGAAGTGCTTCCCGCTGTGCCCATCCAAGTCAGGGCTGACTCGGACAGACTCCCAGCAGAAGATCCCTCACGCTGGGAGAAGGAAAGGGGACACTCATGGGGCAGGGAAGACAGACATAAAATGCTGGGTCTCCATCCTTTGAGCATAAAACTCAGGAAACACTTCCAAAGGGGTCTTCTTTCTTCCTCTGCAACCCTTGCCCCCCGCCAGGCTCCCCTGAGCCCCAGCAACTGTCCCCTTCTAATCAACACCCACTGAACACATGCCAACCCCTCCCCAGCCCATCTAGACCAGCCCTCTCCTAAGCCACAGGACTGCAGTTCCAGCTGCCCCTAAGTGCCTGTGCTGAGACATCCAAGTGCCCCAGACTGCTTAGCTAAATACTTAACTCAGGATTCTTCCCACAGCCTGGCCCCTCTCCTGCATGCCTCTCAGAACTGCACTTTGAAGCCCCTACATATTTTTTCAAGCTCTTTGCCTTTGCTTCCCATCTTCCAGGAACGCCTGCCCCAGCTGTGCCCTGCAGTCTCGCTCAGACGCCTGTGAGGGTCGTCTCGCCACATCCTCTGAGTCTCTCCTCCCTCGATGAACTGTGAAAGGCAGCAGGGTCAAGCCAGCCTTGAGCTCAGTGCCTGATGCTGGCGTCCCATAAATGTCTGATGAGAGATGAAGTGGTGACTGAAAGAAAGATGAAGGGAGATAAAGGAAGAGAATCCAGGGAAGGGCCACCAAAGGACTGCCTCCACCAGCTGCTGAAGGACAGAGCAGGCTGACCATCTCAGTGGCAGACAGAGAAGAAATAGGAGCAGGACAGTGTGAGAAAGTACAGGCACTCTGGATGCACATGAAGGGCTCTGCCTGAAAGGTGGGACTACGAGAAAGAAGGTGGCCAGACCACCCGGCCCTGAGCTGAAGAGGTGGCCTTCTCTTGGATGTCACATTCAGCCTCGGCTGGCTCGCCCACTCCCAGGACCTCACACTCCACTCACCTTCTAATAGCTTCCAAACGCATGCTCCAGGTTGGACCTCCCGCATGACACCAAACCTGTTATGTCCAACTGCCTTCTTCAAACACCATTTGGATGCCTTACCCGAAATTCATATTCAACAGGCCCCCACTGGACTGAGCACTTCCCACCCCAGAAGGTTGCAACACTGCCTTCTCTCCGCCTGCAATATTCTTCGGCTCACTCTGACTAGGCAATTCTTTTCAACCCAAACAAAACGAGGTTGCCAGTCAAACTCCCCATGGAACTCTTACTTTTCCTGCAAAACTCTCATCAGTTTGTGATTACACACAGACACACACAGTGATGAGAAAAGTGGGCTGTACTCTGCCACCTAACAGCTAGGACTCTGAGCATGTCACTTAACCTCTTTATAAAACTAATACCTGTACCAATAGGCCTCTTGTGAGGAGTAAATGAGCCTATACGCAACTAAGTACTAAACGCATGGTATCTGTTAACAACCGCCCATAGTCACTGCCTTAGGATCCATCTTCCCACAGGAGTGGATCAGGGTCTATTGCTTGCATGCCACTCTTTTCTCAGGGTTTAACATGGTTATTGGCACACAATGGACACTCAGCAACAATAAACAAATGGATGGAAAAGGATAGCAACTAACGTAAGATGTGTTTTAAAAAAGACACATTCTGGTAGCTGTGCGTTAAAAAAAAAGAAGAAAAAAGACAAAAGTTGAGGCAGAAAACCATGGGGCAGGGAAGGTTTGATGGAGCAGGCATGCGAAGCGGGAGCAGAGACGGCCAAGCCAGGCAGCAGATTTACCAGGCATCCCATGCGGCCCAGCTCAGTGTGGAAACCAGAACCCACAGTACCCCACCCAGCACGGTTCTCTGCATCTTCTCATCAGACTGTGTGTCCAAGCGAGAAGATCAATATCGGATCAAGTGTTCATTTGACAAACATTTATTCCACACTTGCTTTATGCCAGGCATTCTATTAAGCAAAGGGAAGAGAGCATAAACATAGCCCCTGACCTCACAGAACTTACATTTTAGAGGGGAAAAAAATCGTAAGTAAATAAGTCAAAGAACAGCATGTGATAAATGCTGTAAAGTACAGAAGCTATATGGTAGAGAACTATTTTAAAGAGAGTATCCAGCAGATATTTAAACTGAAACAATAAAGGGTGAGAAGGAATTAGCCACAAAAATAACAGGGCAAAGAATATTCCCCAGTGGAAGCAGAAAATAGAGAGATCCTCAGCCAGGAACAAGCTCGAGTGTTGTAGACTGGAAAGCACAGGTGGAGAGGAGCCTGAGACAAGGCTAAAAGTGTTTCAAAAAGAGCGGAGTGATCAGCCCAACAAATGCTGCTGAGTTGAGTAAGACGACACTGCTGGTGTCCTGTGGAATTGGTAGGATGGAGGTCACTGCTGACTGAGACAGAGCAGTCCAAGTGGGCTGAGGATTGAAAGTGAAGGGCAGAAACGGAGTGGACGACTCTTTAACAAGGTCTAGACACAGCTGTCAAGTAGGAAGAAGGACTAAATGCTGACGGGATGGAACATGGCAATAGCTCGAAGATGGTTTGAATATCGAAGGTAAGAAAGTCCTCCTACGCTATGGTCCAGAGCTCTCCAACACCCAGACATGCACGCTGATTCTACTCTGTGCTATTACATTAGAGAAAAACGCTGGTCACCACCCACTAAATCGATTTCCCAGCTCATTACTGGGTAGCGACTTGTGATGACAGCTCCAGGCTAATTTAAAAAGGGGTGACCTGAGGAGGCGGAGCTGGGGATGGGTGACAGGCGAGCCTGAGGACGAGCGCGGCCCGAGGGCCCGAAGGACACGGACAGGGAGGCGGCGGGCCGCCTGCACCGCCGACCCAGCGCCCCGCGCCGCTCCCCCGGGGCCGCCCTCACCTCCTCGAGGTATTCCCCCAGCTGGGCCGCCACGTCCACCTCCCAGTTCTTGGTGAGGTCGTGGATGGGCTGCAGGAGGTGGGCGAAGCGCGCCTCCACGTCCTCCATGTCCGGGCGGGGCCAGGGCGGCCGGGACCTCAGGGCCGGCTTCGGGGGCGCCAGCGTCCTCAGCCCGCCACCGGTTCTGGCGCCATTTTGCTGTCCCCGCCCAGGAAGGCACGCAGCGCCCCGCGCCGCGCGCACTTCTATGACGTGCGGCCAATCCCGGCGTGCGGCGAGCTCGGGCCCTGAGCGCCGGAAGGACCGGGGCGGGCGCCGGAAGGACCGGGGCGGGCGCCGGAGGGGCGGGGCGGGGCCCGCGGGTTCCCCTCCAGCGGGCCGCGTAGCGGATATGGCGGGCTCCCGGCGCCCGCGGCAGCTCTTTCTCCAGGGCGTGGCCGCCGTCTACATGTGCGCCTTCGCTTCCCTCTACACGCAGATCCCGGGTGAGGACGCCGACCCGCCCGCGCCCTGTGCCCCCTCATCTCCCCTCCGGCCTCCCGCCGGCCCGGACGGGAGTGTGGCCCAGGCCTTGATGCGTGCGATAGGGAGGGGGCTGCAGTTCGTGCTCTGCAGGCCGCGGGGTGAGGGTAGGAGGGCGTGCAATGGTCTGTTTCCCGTAGGGTTCCGGGTTCTTTCCTGCGGCGGGCGCAGAACCCTGAGTGGGGTGGGCCCAGACCGGTGGGGCAGGAAAGGACCTGGAGGAGAATAGAACTGAGCTCCCCCAGGTGGGAGATCCTGACTTGGGGAGTCGGGTAGGCCTTACGGGGTCTGACCCGGGGCAGGGGGACCAACAGGTGACCTGGGGGGAAGGTCTGTAGGCCTTTCCCCCGTCGTGGGTAGAGTCTGCAGGCCCTGACTGGTGGGAGAGTCTAGCCTTCGAAGGCAGTGTCCAGGGCCTGGCCCTGACATGCCCTCCCACAGGCCTGTATGGCACGGAGGGCATCCTGCCTGCACGGAAGATACTGCGGCCTCAGGGCAAGGGACGCTGGCAGCAGCTGTGGGAGACCCCAACGCTCCTATGGGAGGTCCCAAGGCTGGGGCTGGACACCGCCCAGGGCCTGGAGCTGCTGAGCCTGCTGGGCACCCTGCTGGCCCTGGGTGCACTCCTGCTGCGCCAGCTGCGCCATCTCCTCATCTACCTGCTGCTCTGGGCGGCCTACCTGTCAGTCTGCCAGGCAAGTGGGCTCCTTGTGCCCTCCTGTGTCCCTGGAACCCCCATCACCAAATCATTCCAGGCCCTCCACCCTCCACCCTGTCCTGTCTCTGCCTTGCCTGCCTCTGTAGACATGCCCCTTCTCTCTGCAGGTGGGCCAGGTGTTTCTTTATTTCCAGTGGTGAGTGACTACTGGGTGTGGGGCCACAGGAGGCAGGGTGGGGTGGGGTGGGGTGGGTGTGCTTGCCTCCCTAGGAGGGCCCTCTGTGGGGAGCAGCAATGTTGAGTAGAGTCCCTGTGTGCTATTCCTTCTCTCTGTAGGGATTCCCTGCTGCTGGAGACTGGCTTTCTGGCCGTGCTGGTGGCCCCTCTGAGGCAGCGCCCCCACCACAAGCAGGCCCCCCGGGGCAGGCTGGCCAGGGCCTCTCCCCATGAAGGCCTCCCCTTCTGGCTCGTGCGCTGGCTGCTGTTTCGTCTCATGTTCGCCTCGGGTGTGGTCAAGCTGACCAGCCGCTGCCCCACATGGTGGGGGCTCACTGGTGAGGGTTCCGGCCTGGACAGGGGGCAGTCTTGAGGGCTCCACCCAGTGCTGACTGCCACCCGTCGCCTGCAGCCCTCACCTACCATTACGAGACGCAGTGCCTGCCCACGCCCGCTGCCTGGTTTGCTCACCACCTGCCTGTCTGGCTGCACAAACTCAGCGTGGTTGCCACGTTCCTCATTGAGATCGCAGTGCCACCTCTGTTCTTCGCCCCTGTTCGGCGCCTGCGCCTGGCTGCCTTCTGCTCCCAGGTGGGTGGGGGCCTTAACCTCCAGAAAGGCGGGCTGGCTGTGGCCTTCCTCAACACTGCCCATTGGGTCCCACTGGGGACAGGGTGGCACTGCCAGCAGTCAGAAAGGCCCATTGGCAGAGGGGTGACAACTCCAGGCATGCAGGTGTACCTGTGGGGCAAGGCTGCAGCCTTGCTTGGGGGGGCAAGTCTTAGGGCAGCAGGGGCAGATGGGGAAAGGCTGCATGAGGCATGCCCAGGCCGGATCTTCCTCAGGTGGTTGTGAGAGCCGGGGTGGAGGCTAGGTGGAGTGCGAACAGAACGGAGACCAGCTACCACACTCTCCTCTAACGAGGAGAGGGCAGAGTGCCTGCAGAAGAGACCTTGGCATGGGCTGCGGAGGCGCCCGGCCGCAGGCTGTGAATGGTGACCTGTCCCCAGGTTTTGCTGCAAGTTCTAATCATCCTCACCGGCAACTACAACTTCTTCAACCTGCTTACCCTGGTGCTCACCACTGCCCTTCTGGATGACGAGCACCTGGTTGCCAAGTGCAACAGCGGCTGCAAGAAGTCACCCCCCTGTAAGTGTCAGTCTGTCCCAGCCAGCCATCCTCCTCACTGCCCACCAGGGTGTCTTCCCTCCAGGGCTGCCCAGGTGACCCCAACCCCCTGCTGTGGATCCCAGCTGACCCATGACCGTCTTGCCCTGCAGCGTGGCCCAGGGCTTTGCTGGCCATGCTGCCCCTGCTGCTGGAGCTGACCGTCTATGGGCTGCTGGCCTGTGGCACCGTGTACTGCTTTGGACTGGAGGTCGACTGGCAGCAGCACACGGTCCATTCCAGAACCAGTGAGTGTCAGCCAGGGGTGTGGGGGGCGGGGGCCAGGCCCCTCCTCACACCCCCTTCCCTCCGCAGCCTTCACCTTCCACCAGTTTTCCCAGTGGCTGAAGATGGTGACCCTGCCCACCATGTGGCTGGGGGCGGTCTCCCTTGCCTGGGAACTCCTGACAGCCCTCTGGAGGTACGTGGCCCAAGGGCGTGGGGTACAGCTGTCCGGGGCAGGCCTGACTGCACTTCGGTTCCCCCCACAAGGTGGACCCAGGTGCACGGGTGGCTCCAGAAACTCTATTCCGCAGTCCAGCTCTCCATCTTGGGCACTGCCACGGTGGCCTTGTTCATGACCAGCTTGGTGGGTAAGCACTTCAGGGGTGCCAGCTGGGGGCTGGAGGGGCAGCACTGAGCCTCTGCCCACCTGTCCAGGTGCCATACTCCTACGTGGAGCCCTCGACCCATGGGCGCCTCTGGACTGGGGCCCACCGCCTGTTTGGAGCCGTGGAGCACCTGCAGCTGGTTAACTCTTACGGCCTGTTCCGGCGGATGACGGGTCTGGGAGGGCGGCCAGAGGTCGTGCTGGAGGGCAGCTACGATGGGCGCCACTGGACAGTGAGTGTTGGCGCCACAGGGCGGGGCACCCAGGGCGTGTTGGTGCAGAGGGGCGGGTGGCCCCAGGTCCAATTGGTCATCTGACTGGGCTCTGCCGGACAGGAGATCGAGTTCATGTACAAGCCTGGGAACATGAGCCGGCCGCCCCCCATTGTGGTGCCCCACCAGCCACGCCTTGACTGGCAGATGTGGTTTGCAGCCTTGGGCCCGCCCTCGCACAGCCCCTGGTTCACCAGCCTGGTGCTCCGCCTGCTGCAGGGCCAGGAGCCAGGTGAGGCACAGAGGGCCCACCCAGGAAGGTTGGGGTGGGGCTGTGAGAGGCGGGGCCTCGGGAAGGGCGCGGTCTTGGGGCGGGGCAGGCCGGGGCTCTGCTGAGCCCATCCTTGGGTTTCCATCCTCCCACCCGCCACCCCCACAGTGATACGCCTGATCCAGAACGATGTGGCCAGGTACCCCTTCCACAAGCACCCGCCCACCTATGTGCGGGCCCAGCTCTACAAGTACTGGTTCTCGCAGCCCGGGGCACAGGGGTAAGGCCGGGGCACCAAGCGGGTGCTGGGGCTGCGCTGGGGCGCCACCTGAACGCCCTTCCTGTTGCAGCCAGTGGTGGCGGCGCCAGTGGGTAGAGGAATTCTTCCCCACCGTGACCCTGGGGGACCCGACGCTGGACATGCTGCTCAGGCAGTTTGGCCTGCAGGTAGGAAGGGGTTGAGCCAGGCCTGGGGAGGTGGGAAGGGTGCCCCCGCTGACCTCTCTCAACCCCGCCCCCACAGGACAGGAGCCCTCCCAGGGCCCGCAGCTCCAACACCACCTTGGCTCAGGCCCTCCGCTGGGCTCGGAGACAGCTCTCTCCTCTGGAGGCTCCCGCCCTGCTTTGGGGGCTCCTAGTCACTGTGGGGGTCATCAGGGTCGTGCAGGTCCTGCTGGGGCCCCCCGCCAAGGAAGGGAAGCACAGGCCAGCCCCCAAGAAGGACGCGGGAATTGCCAGCCAACCGACTGCCTCAGCCCCGAGCAACGGTAGCAGTGATTCCAAGACACCCCGGCGCAAAAAGTAGCCGCCTTCCGTCAGCCGCATGTCCAGAGAGGGCCAGGGTCCCCGGCACATCTCTGGCCTTCTGCAGCAAGACACGGCCCAACCGTCGTGCCTTAGCCAACAGCTCAGCAGGTGCTCTGGGGCAGGCTCTGCCTGCTCACCCCCCACCCGCCAACCACGCTCCTCCTCAGGGCACCCTCTGGCCTGGCTGGTGGCCCAGAGGGCAGATGTGTGGCCAGTCAGGGCTGTGGGAGGCCCTCTCCCTCTGCCCCACTGTAGGGTCCTGAGTCGGATGCCTGACCCCAGCAGGTGCACAAGCGGGGAGAAGCTGTCCTGCTGAGGAAGAGGAGGAAGATGGCCCTGACACGATATTCCTGCACCAGCCCATCGCCACCTAGATCCATGAACCAATAAAGGCATATCTTAGCTTGACCACATACCTGTTTCCTTCCCACTGGGAAGCCTGAGGACAGTGGGCCTTCTTGGCTTCTGGCAGCAGACACAGCCTGGATGCTGTCCATCTAACACCTGGTGTCCCGGGTCCCTTTACTCCCCCATCCTCATTCCCTCTACAGAGTGGACACAAGGGCCTGGCCCAGCAAGACCCAGGGCCCTGAGCCTCCATCTCAGTCCAGCCAACCTGGCTGAGCTGTCAGCTCTGCACATGAAGGCTGTGAGGCCAGTGGCAGAATGTGGGGTCTGGAACCATTGGAGGACCAGAGAACTCATCAGAGCACCCCTTCATTCCTTCCCTCGCCTGCTTCCTCTCCAAAAATATCAGCAGGCATGGG